TCTTACTCTAGTAGACTACTATAAGTAAACCTCCCATCCTTAGTTAACCGTAGAAAAATGCTTGGTGTGATATTTATGCACAACTTGATCAGGGGTGACATAGACAGCCCTGATCTTCACGATTCCTATTAGACTATTAGACTTCCACTTTGTAGATCGAATTATTCCTTGCATGAACCGTTTAAGGTCTTATGCTCGGATTATAATTCCCTCTACCATATTATATCCAACACTAATTCTCTTCCTCTTATTAAATTATTAATCCTTACACACCTTTCTATTAATTAGTAACTGTAGTGGTATTTGTATTTTGATTGCATGCTTAGTTTCTTAGTAAGTTTAGTGCTAATTTTCCTCGAATGTTAGTCTAATAGCTATCTTTCTTGCATGTTCGCGTTTGGTTCGGCTACGCAACGCGCGTCATGCGGCAGCGCCCCTCGGTCGGTTGGGCGGGAGGAGGGCTGCGTTTTGCCTGGGATCCGCGCGTAACAGCCTTCTGCTGGTATCACACGGGCCACTTGATGGTGCAGTAACTGCATCGCCTCTTGAAAGATGCAGTCATTGCATGTCAACGTCCAAAAAAAATTTGGTTGCTCTAGCTCTTATAGGTTCTGAGATCCTTAAACTCGTATTTTGCAATTGGCAAAACCGACCATGAAACCTGTGTGTTAGAGAGAGACAGAGCGAGAAAGAATGAAATTGTTTTATTGATTCTAGAAGATATAGTCATCTACTACGATTCTGCGCTTTTAGTTTTTTCGTATCGTCGAAATTGTGGATGCCACAGATTTTCGCCCTTTGTGGGGGCGGAAGTGGGCGGGGCAAAGTTTTAAAATATTCTTGTAGCAGTGAAATATCACAGAAGTCTGGATCCAAAACATCGTTGCTCTAGCTCTTATAGTCTTTGAGCACTAGGCGCTAATAAGGACGGACAGACGGACGGACGGACGGACGGACGGACGGACAGACGGACGGACGGACGGACGGACAGACGGTCAGACGGACGGACAGACACACAGGGCTCAATCGATTTGACTAATGTATATACTTTATGGGGTCGGAAACGATTCCTTCTGGACGTTACACTCATCCACTTTTACCACAAAACTAATATACCCCAATACTCATTTTGAGTATCGGGTATAAATACATAATACCTCATACTAACAAAGAGGAGCTAACAAACAAGTCACAAAACTCATCTCGGATAAAATATTAGAACCTTCCGTATCAGAATACAATGGCCCAATACTTCTTGTCCCAAAGAAAGCAATACGAACTTTTATTCGGTAAACAATATAACCTACCGATTCAATTTAATAGCTGATTACGCTAGAGAGGTTAAATTTAGATTAGAAACCGCTTATAAAAGAGCGAGAATAGTTTTAAAAGAAAATAAAGCTAAGCAAAAGAAATTTTATGATCATAAAGTTTTAGATTTTAAGCTAAAATTAGGAGACCAAGTTTTGTTTAAAAACGAGACTGGTCACAATTTAGAACCAGTTTATATAGGACCATTTAAGGTCATAAGAATAGAAACCAATAACAATGTAATAATAAAGCACAACAAGTTCATAAAGATAGGTTAAACATGGATAATAAATAAAAATAAAAAAAAAACAAAAATGTTTTATGATAACGGTCTGATCAACCATAATTAAAAAAAAAATAAAAAAAAGATAAAAAAAAAATAAAAAAATTTAACAAAAAATGTACATATATAAGTAATAATAAGATTTCGGGTTATTTGGAATAATATTGTGAACACTTTATTCGTAATTATGAGTTATTATAAACCACAAGGCTAACAACAAGAACAGTATGTCTATTAATTGTTTGCAAAATGTAAAAAGGCACATAAGTTTGACTTCAACATGGAAAATATGAGTAAAGGCATAAGTTTGGAGAATTTTTTTTATTAACTGTTATCAAAATGTGTTTAAGCTGTAGGTATGACGGAAAAAAGGGCAAAATTCCAAGACAAACGGTAAAGAAATTAAAAAAAAAACAAAAAAGCGGCATGTATGACTCTGTCTATTAATTCTTTGCAATATGTAAACACTGATTGAAAGAAGACGAAGGAAAAACAAACGGGACATCAAAATCAAAAACGATCAGCCGCGTGCTTTTCTTAAGTCTTCTTTGCAGTCATTCGTTTACAAATTTTCTTGCATTCAGTTCAGTTTCTTGTGTTATTTGAAGTTTTAGCAATGCCCGGTAAACGAACAGAAGATAATCTGATACAATTGGTATATTTTAATTATGGCAAAAGAAAGACAGCTAAAGAGTTGGCCAAGATGTTCAATATTAAGTTGAGAACAGTCTTTAATATTATTAAACGTGCGGAAAAAGAAAATAGGCTCGGCGGGATTACTCGAAAATATTGAAAACCGTGGAAAATAAGCCACAAACAACCCTCAGAGCCTCAGGTCAATGATATAAAAATTAATCTAAACAAGACCGTTTGCCCTGAGACTGTGCGAAAAGTTTTAAATGTCCACAGATACTCCTCACACGTGGCAAGGAAGAAGCCGTTGCTGTCCACAGCTAATATTGAGAAACGCTTAAACTTTGCGATATATAATGTTGACAAGCCTCTCGAGTACTGGGACGACGTGATTTTTTGTGACGAAACCAAGATCATGCTGTATTATAATGATGGGCCTGGAAAAGTTTGGCGTAAGCCGAATACAGCCCTCCAGTCAAAGAACATTGTGCCCACTGTGAAATTTGGCAAGCTTTCAGTGATGGTTTGGGGCTGTATTTCTTCCAAAGGTGTTGGAGAGCTGCGCATTTTCAATGACATTATGACAAAAGAATTTTATTTGGACATTTTTGGCTACGTTGATCCACAGAACACCAGCAAACTCAAATACAAGCTGTACCAGGACAATGATCCAAAGCACAAATCATTCCTTTGCCGCACTTGGCTACTTTACAATTGCAACAAAGTGATTGACACGTCCCCCCCTTGTTAAAGAAAAGGGTGGCCAAACGACGCCCTACCTCAAAAAGTAATTTGATTCTGTGGAACGAGGAGTGGCTAAAAATACATCCACGCCATCCATCAGGCCACTCTCAAGAGGTCGATTCCCTAGAATCATGCCACTCATGAGGAACAATTAAAGCTAAGCATAAAACCATGGAGTCTCACATTCCTAGCTCCCTCATGTAATGCAACACCGATCGCCAGCAGCCTTTCATCAAAGCCGACGTAAACCACCCGTAAGCCTAGGGCTGGGCGACCTATCGATCACTATCAACACCGATAGTAGCTTTATTAAATCGCGAAACAAATATCAAAAGGTTTGACAAAGTTAATCGAAAATCCACAGTTTATAACTGTTTAACTAGTTTTTCGGTTCAACATCCATTGAATGCACCCGAGTGCCAAATACCAAGTGTATTTTCTTGTTATTTTTTCCGATAGGCTTCCATCACACATACAGCAGTCAACATCCCACTACCTAATTCGTTGCAAAGCTAAACGGAGGAACACCATACTGACAATATTTTCGAATATTTCCATAGTCAGTGTGACCGTTCCTCTCCTCAGCTCTTCAGCAGTAAACGTAAACATTCCAAGTTGATCCAATAAGTGCATTCCAGCAAAAGCTCGAGACCTTCCGGTTTATTACGATAGTAGTGGCTTTGAAAAATAAATATTTCTTTCTGCTCTTGTTGGGGTATCCGTATGTACTCTACCAGGTCGCGAGGAGAAAAAACAACTTTTACCGGTGACCTCTCCAGGTAACAAAAGCCCAAGCAGCTCTTCCGCCCCAGAAGCGGCCACCTGGGTGACTCGCAAAGTGAAGTACCCAGGTACTCCAGGGCCCACCACAAGTTCCGCTGTTGCGAAGACAAAATCGGTCCTGTTCCCGTCGCCTGTCCCGCTTAAGGTGCCAGCGCGTACGCAAAGCAGTGTAAGCTGCTCTCGACACTCCCACACAATGGCTCAATCCGCCGCAACTGCCGTACTTACGCATTTCGGAGAGCGAATAAACCTTCCGGATCCCCGAACTCCATCCGCTTCGCCTTCCACGGCCTGGACCAAATCCGAAGCATGTGGGCGGAAGTTGAGATAGAGCATAAGAATTGTTTCGCATTTGTGGCTGAAGAGGGTTCGCAGTCTGAAGCGGACCTTCAATCGAAATTCGATGACTGCTTTACGGTGTATGTACAGTGCTTTGCTGATCTCACTGATCAGCTCCAACAACCAGCAGTCCGTCCTTCCGCACAGCCAGATTTCCACGGCAGCTGCAGACTCCCCCAAGCGACATAGAAGTTTTCGCTGGGGATTACGTCCGCTGGCCTTCGTTCCGAGACCTTTTTACTGCGATCTATAAAAATTCAGGGAAGCAGCTGTAACAGGGCAACCGCGATGTTAGCACCCCAGGCTACCAGCCTGTTATCGCTGCTGGGTACCGCGCTCAGTTAACAGCCAGTTAGATCGCCCTCTGCCTAGCTCTCACTCTGTCGGTTCTGTACGCTCTTACGATCCGCACGTCGTTTACCGTTGTCATAGCATGTAAGCTAGAATAAGTTTCGATTCCACCCCCGCTACAACCTGCCCCGTCATGCATATATTCGCACATATACGAAAATACATGGAACACATTTATTGGAACCATTCTGACTTCTTCATTTGTATACATACTGCAATTCGACGCTGGATAGCAACGTCTCGATCCGCCCCCTTGCAAACAGTCATTTTTTTTAAATATTACATAAATTTCATAAATAATATCATATATAAATAAGCTCACATATATACTGACTGTGTACCGAATATCACGTTACCCCTGGTTTTTGGTTGCGTTTCAAATGATTATCTATCTAATGTTTTTAGATTTAGTAAATACTACAGCAGTGACATTTGAGACATAATATTTTCGGGGCATTAAATCCTGATAGAGATTCTTCTTCTATTAACGTTATATCAGTGAAAATAACTAAACGCAAAACTATTTTAGCATATTTAAGTAGTACTGGTATCTTACCGAAAAAATCCGAGTATTAACGCGTTTTTGAACTACGATAAATGTCAATTTTATACGATTATCGCAAATAGAGGCAAATTGCGGAATTTCGTACCTAGAGCACGTACTTAGTTGACCATCTCCAACGCCATCTCTGAAAACGAACAATAATCTATGAAAATGTATTCTGTTAAGAAACTATCACTATATTAACTTAATTAGTTAAATATTTAATTTAATAATGTTAAGTATGGCGCTTTGGTTGAAGGGTTTTTCTACTGATGTGCAGAAATCGATTCTCGACGCAGGTAAATTGAATTTCAAGGCTGTTAAGGCGATATGGAGGTGACCACATGCGAAAAGTTCATAGCTTGGAGCTGAAGGTCAGGGTAGATCGTTACAGAGAGTCGCTTCAAGAGTTCGCGATAGACATATCGCGGATCCTACGACTGGCTTACAATGCTGCACCAACCCAGAGAGATGCAAAATCAATGGTTTTATAGACGGTATGAGGGCTGTTGCAGCAGACGATCTTTATTACCCTATCTCAGCGTGTGCGATGTTGTGAGCAGAGCTTTTGCTCTCACACGCCGCGCTCTTGTACTGCTCTCTGCGCATGCAAGATCGGCTCGGCGGTGGAGTCGGGGAGTTATTGCGATCTCTGGCTGCGACCAGTCCAATAAATGCTTTGAAGTCGAGCACTTGTTTTATTTGTTCATAAATTACCTGAAATTTTAAATTAAAAATCGCAACTAGAGCCCGCTGGACCGGAGTCATCATAACGCTTAGCTCGGAAAAAATATACAAATATAATATATATACAAATATATACCACTCACTGTCGTGTCTCGTTGACGATGCATTGGGAACGGTGAAGGCGTTTCAGATCTCTACGGTTGTTTGACATTCCCAGCACAACAGAAGCTTCTGCTTCATGCCTTAGGTCCCTCATTGACACGGTATCAGCCATCTATTCCTCTCTGCAGTCGTTAGGAAGTGAAAAAGACATAAATAGCGCGATGCTAATTCACATAGCGCTGTCTAAAGTAGATCCCACACCGAAGTCGCGGTTCGAAGAGCAACTGGATCCGAGTGCGCAGCCCAGTTGAATCGGCGCTATCAGCATCGAGCTGCCGAAGAGTCAACACGGAATAAGGGAACAACTAAACAAGAGACAAGTAAAGGACCCACTAAATCGTCATTTTCATGTGCAAAAACGGATAGGCGAGCTGATTCGAAATGTAGCTGGTGCACGCGGGGAATCATACCATAAGCAATTGTCAATCGTTTAGTGCTCTTCTTTTTCTTCAACGGTTCGACATCACCAAGCAACTCCGACTGTGCATAAATTGTTTGAAGCCAGGTCATACAGTGACGAGGTACAAGACGAGTCGAGTGTGCTCTAAGCCCCATAACACTCTGCTTCATAGATACGGGGTAAAGCCACAGCAAAATGGGCCTAGTTCTGTGCCAGTAGAACATTCGTCATCGTCTGAGCCTCAGACAGCTTATTCTAGTCACGTTGCTAGTGCTGACCAAGTTATTCTTGTTACTTCTGTTGGAAAGGTGTAAGATCGGTCCGGACAATTTCAGTGTGCACGGGCACTTCTAGATTCCGGCTCCCAAATTAATTTTATATCCGAGGATCTAGCCCAGCGCTTACGACTCCGCCGTGATGATTCGTGCCTTAATATCACAACTGTTGGAAAAAACTCTTCCGTCATAAGGCACAAGATTCATACTTCTGTCCAATCTCGTATCCACGCTCACAACTTTGATTCCGATTTTTGGGTATTAAGGTCGATTTCCACATACCAACCCGATCATGTTGTCAATTTCGCCCCATGGAAGATACCAGCAAACCTGTAGCTGGCAGACCCGCATTTTTACAAGCCTGCTAAGGTTGTCTTATTGATAGGGGCAGAAACCTTTTTTGAGTTAATGTGTGTAGGCCAATTAAAGGCAAGTTCCGAACATCCATCAATCCAGAAAACATTGTTGGGATGGATTGTATCAGGAAAATAAAAGGCATCAGCGCAGTATGCTGTATGCAATATCGCTGTTGGTAGCGATCATTGCTCTCTCGACTCTCTAGTGAAGCGCTTTTGGCAATTGGAACAGGTCCCAGAGAAGTCGAAGCCTGTATATACAGCTGAACAATTGGCTTGTGAACAAAACTTTAAGCAGACTACGCAGGCTCGAGTTGGGCCGTTTTGAAGTGGGGCTGCCAGACCTGAAAAGACCCCATCAAATCTGTTTTTGCTCAACTCGCTCTTCGCTCAAGCAAAGACCGATTTTTTCACTTCTCTTTTGTTCCTGTTCTTCACTGAACATCTTGCCGCGAGCAAACGAAAAATTTTTGTGAATTCTATACGGTTTGACTATTGGAGCTTAAAATGAATCGTGAAAATCAAAACGAAAATGTTCGTTTGCCAATTTTGCAAATTTTTCGCTTCACCAAAGTGTCTCTCTAAGTTGTTATTGTGAGACACGATCGGGTGTCGGGCTCACCCGAAAACCCGAAACACATAGCACAAGCGAAGAGACAAAAAGTGTTCTGCTCAGTGAGAGACCGTGTCTTCGTGGTCTTTTTCGGATTTTTCAGTGACGAGACAGCAAAGGGAAAAAGTGTTGACCGTCGTTTGCGAGCTATGATCAAAACAAAGACTTCAATCTCATTAAATGAGACTTTGTTGGTGGGTGCAAATATTCAGAGGGAGCTTTACGTAACTCTTGCCCGATTTCGATTAAATCGTTTTGCGCTCACAGCTGACATCTCCAAAATGTATAGGCAAGTTCAGGTCGCCGAAGAAGACCGTAATTTCCAATTGATTCTGTGGAGGGATAAGGCAAACGTAGATGTTCAAACGTATCGCCTGAATACGGTTACTTATGGGACAGCCTCAGCTCCATTTCTGGCCATCCGCTGTCTCGTTGAATTGGCAGACGCTTATGCTGAGTCCCATCCTATTGCATCACAAGTGACTTTTACGTTGATGATATGCTTACAGGAGGATTTAGATTTAGGATTTAGATCGTATTCGGCTGGAAGTGTGCGAGGTCTTAGAAACCGGGGGTTTTAAGTTGGCCAAGTGGGCGTCAAATCATCCCCAGCTGCAGTCCGATAGTGGCCAGAAGAAATCGCTGCAGTTTGATCCTTCGTCGTCTGTTAAAACGCTCGGAATTAGATGGAATCCGCATCATTTAGATGACTCATTTGATTCATTGACCCCTACAAAGCGAAACATCTTGTCAGTTGCGTCCCGATTGTTCGACCCATTAGGGTTATTATGTCCCTTAATAACTGCCCTAGTTATTGCTGCAGCAATTGTGGCTGCAAAAGTTGGATTGGGACGAGTCGGTTCCCATGAGTTTGCACCCGAGTTGGAACCACTTCAAGCCAAATTTGTTTGAATTAGACAAGATAACCATACCTCGCTACATTGGCCTTCCCACGCATAAAAGCGTTCAGATTCACGGATTCGCAGACGCATCAGGTGAAGCGTACGGATGCTGCATTTAAATCCGTACCAGTGATGGTAAAAACGAAATCGATTCCAAGACTCGAATTGTGCGCAGCACTCCTGTTATCCACTTTATGGGCTCAAGTAAAACCGCTCCTGGATAAATTTATGATCGAAAGTGTGAACTTTTGGTCGGACTCCCAAATCACCTTGTACTGCCTGGAAAGGGATCCAGCCACGCTAGCAACGTTTGTGGCCAACAGGGTTGCTGAAATCCAGGAATCTTCAGGCGGTGTGACTTGGCGGCACGTTGCTACTGAGCAAAACCCAGCCGATTTGTGGACTGATGGTCCCCAATTTCTGCTCAGGAATTATGAGGAGTGGCCATGTCTACATCAGGTTGAGTGGTCCCCAGAAATGGAACGGTCGGAAAACAAGAAGTGTTTGGCAACACATTCAGTGGCAAAGTGTCAGGCCAATGATTTCATCGAGTTGATTGAAAGATGCTGTTCTTTTGAGAAATTGCTTCGGATTATATGTCAACCGGTTCCTACAAGGAAGCAAGCGTAGTCGAGAGGTCGTTCTGTCAGCCAAAGAACTTAAGGTCTCATTTCTAAGGCTGGTAGAAGTAGTCCAAAGACACGAGCTGGGACCAGAATTCCACAAGCTAGCGAGGTCGGAAATCCTGTCACCGCATTTTCAACGACTAAACCCGTTCATACATACGAGCGAACTCGACGGAGTAACGCTTCAACTGATTCGAGTGGGAGGAAAGTTGCTCAACGCAGAAATTCCGTACGACGCCAAATTTCCTCTGCTGCTGTCGCAAAAGTCGCTTGACGCTTCGCAATTTGTACCGGACTCACTACCATGCAGGCGCCAAAATCATGGTTTCGTTGCTAAGGCAGCAGATATGGCTAATCAATGCTCGAGAAGCATGTACAAGAATCCTGAGAAATTGTGTGCACTGCTTCCGATACAAGCCAGTCCTACAGGGATAGATAATGGGAAACCTGCCAGCTGATAGAGTGCGAAGAGCTCGGCCCTTTTTGATTTGTGGGGTAGATTTCTGCGGCCCATTCTTTATCTGTTTTTACAAGGTTCATCGGGAGAAGAGGCCTTCCGGAGAAGGTGTACAGCGACAACGCCACCAACTTCGTGGGCGCGAGCAAGGTGCTGAACGAGCTTCATCAAGCGTACCAGAGGAACCAGGACCGGCTCAAGACGTACGCAGCGCGCCAAGGCGTCGAGTGGTATTTCATACCACCGAGAGCACCACACTTCAGCGGATTGTGGGAGGCAGTCGTCAAATCAGCCAAGCAGAGGTTGGTACGCGGAGTGGGCAACGCCAAGCTCGGCCAATCGCGTCCCCAGGCAACGATCCCAGCGATGGAGAAGCGCTAACGCCAGGGCCCCTGCTGATCGGGCAGCCGCTTCTTTCGCTGCCGCCCGAATCAGATCAAGACGACAGATGAAGCAGGGGAAACTTCGCGTACTTGATCAGCCTGCAGAAGCGTCACCAGTGGGCTACCAAAGGGCCAGACTTGGACATTGGCTGTCTGGTGCTCGTCCACGAGGACAACACACTCCACAGAAGTGGACCACAGGACGAGTGGTGGCCGCAATCAAGGGAGAAGATGGGAGAGTGTGCATCGCCGAGGTGCGAACACCCACTGGCGTAATTAAACGC